AATTTTTATGTTAATTATTTATTGTTTGATCTGTTTCTGATCCTTGCTTCTGTTTACGTTATTTTCTTATTATTTGGTAACTTTTTTGGTCTTTTCTTATTTCTTGCCACTTTTATATTGTTTGATCTTCTCGTTTTTGGGTTTTTAAGTCGTTTGGTTCTTAACTTATTTTTTCTTCTTTGTCTTTTTCTTTTGTTCATTTTTATTTTTGTTTGTTTTCTTGACTTTGTTTTCTTATTACTTATTTGTTACCTTCGTTTTTTCTTATTTAAATTTGTTTTAGTAAATAATTTGTATCTGTTTATTTACGTTTTTATTATATTTATTTTTCTTTATTTAGTCCTCTCTGTTTTTCATGTTTTATTAAGAAAGATTAAATTTTAAAATATTACACGTTTTGCTCAAATTTCTTTTGCTTCTCTCTTAATTTTTCTAACTATATATTTATTTTGCCAAACGTGGTGAGGAAAAGAATTTAACTGAGCCACATAAATCTACTTCTACTCCGAATAACATACACTATTTTATCCCCAAACGTATTCAGATCGAGAGTAAAAATCAATACCATAATTAGCAAGTAAATAAACAAAATAAGCAGGACGCTCTGCAAGTAATGAAATCATAACAACGCTTACAAACAAACATTTGGTACGCATCAGTATCGAAATTTGTGTTGAAATTTTCGAAAGTGTTTATTAATTTAACTAGTGCAGTTAGTAGTGCAAAATGTCGAATGTTGATGATCTAGAATGTACCTCTCTAAAAATTGCTGAAGAAGCGAAAGAGACAAGAAAGAAACAATATTGGTAAATGTTAAAAATGTCATGGTAAAAATAAAAACGTTTAGGCGCAAAAATAGAATTTTTACTCCATGGCTGGATGGAAAAACTAAAATAATTTTGAGATTTAGTCTACCTATTTTTACTACTGAGTTTTGGTATTGGATTAACTCAAATTTTTCTTAAAAAAGCTAAATATTTGTCTATCCACCTCGTATTTGTCCGACTTTATTTGCAAAACCTTCATAAAAGCACAAAACAAGAAACTCTTAATTTGCTACAAGCACTTGTAAAAAGTCTCCCCAGCCGCACCGGCGTCGTTAATAGTTATTTACATTCGTGTGCGGTAACTTACATTTTACAGTGCGAAATGAATTTGAAGCACGACGCGCAGCGGAGTGCTTTAATAATTGAGCACTGTAAAATGGTTAACGCACAAGATTTGTATTAAGCTTTTTGGCCGACGTTTAAACAAAAATCTACAAAATTCAGAATTAATACAAGTAAATACGTTTGACATTAAATATCACGGTGGCTATGCACTCTAATGTCAAACAATTAAAAAAGACGCAAAAACGTCTCAGACACAAAGTTTTGTTAT